GTATCACGCGCATTTTGTTTCAGCGGACGTACGCCTTCACGAGTTTTACATGAAGAGCGGCGACCCGTGCGAAGCAACGAATGATATCTCCGGTGTTCATTCCACCGCCTTGTGTTTTTATACAAGGCAGAAACGCTTACGTTAATGAAATCCGTCCGTAGAAGATCCCCTCGTAAAAGCTAGTAAAGAACGCTGAAGCAAAAAGCGTCGAAATTAAAAGCTGCGACCTCTCGATTCTTGACGTTTACCGTGCCACTGGACGCATTCATTAAAATATTTCCACTTTAATTAAGACTGACGAAACATTTTCTTTGAATCTTTAACCTGAATATTTTTTATATTAAATTATTCATTAAAATAAATAAGATTACATGAAAATTCAACGTACGGATTAATTTAGCAAAAAAGATGATAATAATAATTTATTTATACAGACTAATATTTTTCGCAATAAAATTTACAGGTTTTAAGATGCTTATCAGCATCAGATTATTAAGATATTTCTACGAGTATCACTAAATTGCTTATCAATTTAATTTATAATATTACTATTGTATTATAGTTGTGTTAGAATTGCGTTTAAAGACTGAAAATTAAATTTGGCGCGTAATTTTAGAATTAAATATGTAATTATAAGTCCACACCGAATCATTTAAACAGTAAAGCTTTAACTTGGCAGTTTAAGGTCTTTATTTCCTAATTGTTGTGTACTCACATTAGTACGATCTTGAGAGATACTTTCGTTTTAATACTATTTATACCTTCTTTTTTCTTTCTCTTCGCGAAAGAGATACGTGAGCGGAACGAGAAATGTCGACAGTATAGAGCTTAGTATGCGTTACGCAATTTCATTATAATTTGCCGTAATTGTCACACGTGAATTAGTGTAATTACGAGCGGTGTACCCACAGATCTAAACATCGTAGATGTCTTGGTAACAAATGTAAGGCACACGCGAATCGATACTGCACAAGAGAACGTACAAAAGCTTTTGTCTCACATTAATACGGATGACACGTAATACGTTCTCATAAACGTCACGTGCGGATTAATCACGTCTCTATGTGATGTTTACAATGCGAGATGATACATCGCGTAAGTACAGTCAGTCACTCACTGTACTTGATAACTCGTCGCGTGTATTGGCAATTATATGGAGATGCTGGGCTCATCTTTCGTTAAAAGTCGTTTCGTACAGAGAGTTTAATCTCAAATTATTAAATTGCCAAGTTAGGAATTAATTACTTCAAGTTGATAAGAAAGACCTAGCTACTTTGGCGCGAGAGGAGAATATCGCGCGAGCGGGATTAAAAAGATCCCCTCCTTAGGTACTCGGTTTATATATCGTTATACACCGCAGTGTGCACTTAAGCCCGTATATCGCGTTATTATTCCGCCGCTCGTTCTCGGCGGTGCAGTGATAAAATTCTAATAGCGCGGTTATATATATATATATATATATATACGTATAGCCCGACTCTGTGTGTATTTCTTCTCGCTGGCAAAGATCGTCCTACACACGCGGCCTCCCCCATTTATTTCACGTCGGTCGGAGCTTCCCACCTTATCGCAAAAATCAGTAATTAAGTTACGTTTCCTCCGGTACCCTCGAAGAACGAACGCGCGATGGAAACGATTTCGAAACGGCAGCGGCCAACCCCTTTTTAGCTCGCGGCATAGCCGTTCTTCGGTTGGTGAGAGAGCGCGCGGCATCTCTTATTAAATCTCGGCGCGAAATTATTATTAAGCGTGCACTATCCGTAGGATCCGCCGTACGATCCTTCCAGGCGCACGTTGCACAGATTTACTCGCGACTATAAACGTTCTAGGCTACGTGCCTCGCGCGATTCGCTCTGTGCGCAAGTCTCACCCGCGCGAGATTTATTAATTTCCGAATTATATCCCGCGCCTGCAATTTCCGTCTCCTCGTCGTACAAATGTGGTTTCAATTAATCAATAACGAATACAATTTCCTCTGAAACGAGGTAAATGCAATCGGTGTTGAATTATAAATTCAGAAACGCGAGCACCAGGACGAACGTTTTCGCCCAGGCGTGTGCTTTTACCACCCGCTCGCCGTTCAATTATAGCAGCGCAGCGATAGCTATGTAAAAAGGCCCGTTTTACTCTCGTTATCTTTGGTCCTGCATTTACAAAGAAAAAGAGCGGTCAAAGCGAAATTTATAGTACGAAGCGTTTTAACGACGTTTTTACGCCGCTCCGCTTTGGAAAGATAAATTGCAGAGCCGGCGCTTGCGACTCGTGCCCGTTTTTTTATCGATATTCCGATATTCCATGGAATATTGTATTACCATTCCGAAACGTAACAAAACGAATATAAACTGTCATTACTGTTACGTAAAATTATTATTCGTACGAAAGAAATCACACGTTTCACATTTCGTTGCGCGCGCGATAATCATTTATACACGTTTTCACGAGAGTATACTTTCCATATACGAAAGAAAGCGTCAGCCCCATTCTTCCATTCTTATTCCCTCGTGCGATAGGTTTTTCACGGTGGTACGAATGAGGCGGAAGTTAGTGTTACGTACACCGCACAGTTCGCGAACTATCTGCAAACTCTATTCCGACGTGATCGTCCTCATGGAATTCCCTAGCGTATCTCGAGATATTGATTTTGCGACACGATTTGCCGGGGGATGCCCGCGCACTCGGGGAAATAAATCCGCGAATGGAATCTAGGTGGAGGAAGGAAACGTGAGAAATCGCATTTGCTAGATTCTATGAGACTTATCTGCCATCTTGTCGATTATTGAAAATCGGCTAACTCATTTGTCACGCTGCGGCGATGCCATGCCTGCGCGGGAGGGATACGACAGAAAAGGAAGGAAGGACAAAGTGAAATAGACTAATCGGAGATTTGATGACAGGGGATAAAAAGAAGCCACCAACGCCGCGTGGAATCGGCAACACTCACATGAATAATAATCAAGGGACATTAAGTGAGAAATATTCCCATCGTTCGCCATCGCCTTATGCTTCCTTATTGATTTTCGCTGATGTACTCTGCTATTAGCTCGCATCGTCGATGCTAACTGAAACGATTATACGCTCGTCAGAGGATATTTGAAACATTCACAGAATGTGAAATCTCACATTATGAAGATGTTAACTATTAGAAAACATTTCTAGTTTATACAAAACGTAATTTTTTTCTTAAATAAAAAAAAAGTAAAAAGAATCTTAAACTTACGTGTCTCAATGTCGTACTGAAAAAAAGTCCTGATTAAATCAATAAAAACATCTAACAAGAATATCATTTGATGTAATTAGAATTTTTTTTCAGTACGGTTGATGCAAGTTTTAAGGTTTATTTATTCTTTTTATTATTTATTCTCATCCCCTCCCCAAAATGCTATTCTTCTTATGTGCTTTTAAGATGCTCTTAAGGTGCTTTTGTTGCTTTTATTGGTTTAAACATCAAAATATTTTTTCAGTGCATGATTAAAGCACATAAATTAAATAAAATTTTTTTTTTACTTTTAAAAAAATTTAGACTTTCTACAGATATTTTTAAACAGAATTTTTGTTTATAATAATCAGAAAATCTATTGGTCTTATTAAAATATATTTTTTGTTGTATTCTTTTATCGATTGAACATTTTTCTCAATACACAAGATAAGAATATTTTCTTTGTCAAGTGTTTTTTTTATAGATACACATATAATAGATACAGCTTAAATCTCACCGAACAGCTTCGTGCGAGCTTTAGTTGAAAGGCGTACAAAATTTTGTCAGGCAGAACCAGTTCATCGTAAATCACGAAAGGCGTGAACGGAACGACTCTCGATATAACTCACTCGCGATTGCGCAATATCGAAAAGTCCTCAAGTGTCACTGGATATCTAATGTCGTCTTAGATAAATACGCCGCGAACTGCGAGCGTGTGCAAGCCTCTAAGAGTTTAAACTGCTGAAGAAATCAGATCCCGGCCACCGTCAGGTGCGCATAAATAAACAATGAAAAGGATACGCCTTCGGGCTAAGAGATCCATTCTTAATGGAGAGAGTGCTTGACAATGATTTAGATAAAGTCATTTTACGGCGGCCTGATCCAACGACTACTTGACGCCTGGCTCTACATTTTCTGCCTCAAGGTTATTCGAGCGTATTACAGCAGCCGTCGCGTTTACAAGTGTAATATATTCATAGCCTGTAATCAGACTATAATTAAGCTGTACCATGGAATTATAATTAAATTTAATGAGTGATTTAATTTATCAATGTTCGTTCATATTGATTAATCATTGTAATCTGTAAAAAGATTGTAAAAGATGTAAAGAGAAAGACTTAATACAGACCACCTCGTTCGGCTTTAATGAAAACGAGGCACTTTTAAGGTGCGCTTTTTAAAAGAAGCGTGAGCTTCGAGAGTTCTCTAAAGAAAATTCACCGGTATTAAGGTCGGCGTCCATATTGATGAAGGTCCTCGAACAATAACGACCGTCGATCGTTAAATCCGTACGAGCGTAATAAAGCGACCGTCTGATACGCGTAAACCCGGATTATCGCGCGTTTTACTCCCACGTCTCTCTCGCCAAGTTGATCGCTAAATCCCAACACACACGGGTCATCGCGTTGCGATCATCGTCGAACAATCAATGCATAAAATGTAGGTAATAATTTCAGCCACTAAAATACAATGTATCTAAATGGCTCGCACTTCCGTGTATTTAATGGGCTCTAAGTCACAGATATCTTTTCGTTATTCGATCCAATGAACTTGACGCAATAACCAAGTTGACAGCTCTAACAGAAGCAACGTCTCTTAAGCCACTCGGTTATTGCCTAAATGACTTGTGTTTGAGTCGGTAAGATAATACAAATGATTGACGGTCCACTCCCGTCCCCAAAGGGCAGCTAACGTGATCAGCAGACTGGAAGAGAGAGAGGGCGGGAAAGCGTCCTATCAGCAAAGAGTTTCGTGATGAAAATATTAGTCGTATACTTTCTTCTCATCGAGAAGTCGAGATTTAGAAAGATTCTTAGAATAATTCTCTTTCTCTTTGGAGAAATTGACTACACGAAATAAAAAAGAAACCAATTCGATAGCTGACTTAGTTATCGGTGGTATTGATCATCATTTGCATTTTGTTGCAGGTAACAACGATACCCGACGAGGGCGAGGATAATTTTAAAATGCCCAGGGCTTCCGTGGTACACATGACGTCGACGGCAACGAGGCCGCATCACATGTCACAAGTATATATCATTAATAGATACTATATCATTAGTTCATTAAATTTAATAATAAATCATTATTTAATAATCAGCTAATAATAAATGATCATCTTTGTATCAACTAAGTAAACAAGATGACACTATCATATAGCATGTACCTATATTTTAGAAATTTGTATGACAAGACATATAAAAACGCAAAACGATTTTATTAAGATATCTAAAAAATTATAGGCATCTGTGAAAATAACTTTATTGAACCTTCAAGATAATTACTTAGAACACTTAAGTATACCTAATGATAATTTTGCAAAAATTGTTGACATTCTATCATCATCAATTTGAGTATTCTACTCAATTATTTTGATGGTCTAACAAAATTATTTTCAGATTAGTATCTAGCTGAATTTTTAGATGTTTTAGCAAAACCGTTCTAGCAGCGTATGCAACGAGATTTTAAGACATAAAACTTAAGCTTTAAACCTCAAGCAGTAAGAAATTGACCAATCATAATCAAATGTGAGGAGAATAATCAATTTCTTACAAGGTTTAAAACTTAAAGATTAAAATTTCATTTTAAACGCAGCTTAAAAATGGTAATAAAAGTACATAGAAGGTATGACCTTAGTGGCAATTTGTATTTTTTCACCATCGGCAGGACGCGATTCTTAAATAATCGAGTGAGATAGTGAGACGAATCTTTTTATTTCTGGTTGGCAAGAGGCCATATTAATATGCAAACACCGAAGACAGCACCGAGCGTAATTGAGTGGTCCGGTTTAAAATGAGTATCATGCACATGGAGGCCTTTCGAGAGAGCAAGAGAAGACCGACATCGTATACACCCACATACACCGAGTTGCGCACAGCACCCGACCGACCATCCTCATAATCGTATAAGCGGGAGACGACTTTTAAAGCTCGTTTTTCCTCTCCCTTTCTCTCTAGCCTTTACCCCTCGACTAATAGTTTTAAGCTAATGGCTCCCTCGGCTAACTTCGACCCGACGCTCTGACGCACATCCCCGCGCTTACGGAACTGCTCCGAGTATTTCGCACGGCTCGATGCAAACGAGCTTTTAACGTCGTGTCCGAGAGTGAGAAAAGAGAAGCGGAAAGAGGAAGAGAAAGCGCAAAAGAAGGGTGAAAGAAGGGTGAAAGAACGCCCAAAAATAATATCGCCAGAAGTGTTTCCGAGCATGAATTTCTTACATTCGAAGGGAAAATATGCTCTCGCGTGAGAATATGTGTTTTTTTTAGCTCGTTAAAATCCCTCGTGTTGTTAAAAACTGTTCGCCATCGACATTGTTGCGATATCGCGAATATGCAGCGAATCGCACCGAGATAAACGCCCCTCGTATACTCTCAACGCGTCTCGTAAACCGTAATTAATATACCAAATTCTCCACCGACGCTTCAAGAAACGGGAAACATATCGGCGCTCGCTACCGTGCCCAACATTTTCCTGAATGCGCTATTCATCGCGCGGCTCGATAATTAGTTAAAGAAAGCGACTCAGACGAGCGCGCTCGTATACTCATGTTCATTACCGCTGTTGCTGCTCGCGCATATCGTATTATAATATTATATGCATAATTAAGATTCATGGCATTCGACTATTTTCCACGGTTTATTCGAGCCTCCGAGGACACTCTCCAAAAAATCAATAGTGGCACAAAATAAAAATTATTACAGGGATTAAAGAAAAATTATTAGAGAGGGACCCTGCTGGCCTATTTAAATTTACACTGAGAAAAATGTCTGGTTGAAAATGGACAAACCAAAAAATTCTATCGATCAAGATTCCATTTTTATAGATTTATTTTATAGATTTAACCAGAATATTCTGAGATCCCCGTCAATCCTAATTAATCCAACATTCGATAATCGAACATTTTTCTCACAAATTTGTATTCCATATAATTATATCGCTTGTGTCAATATGATTAAAAAGCTCTAAAAAATAATAAATTTTTATTGAAAAAAAAAAAAAAAATCATATATTAATAGACAAAATCATCAAAAATATCAAAGAAAAAGTTTTCGAAATTAATAAAAAATTACATTCTCAAATATGTAGAATAGACCAACAAGATTAAGAACATCCTGATAATAACTATACAAATCTACTAACAAATCTAAAAGCTACGACGCAATTCGCTTTTAACTACAGGGTAAATAGTTTGAATTCTCGCGACACATCAGCCGAACTTGTAACTCGATGTATTATCGTAATTACGAATCTCGAATGGAAAGCGGGAATGTAGTCGTAAATTTGTCCTTCTTCGAAGTCAAGACTTTATATTCGTATTCCAACTAATCGATAAGACGCACAAAATTATGTCTCGGATTGTATTATAATTTTCGCACGGTCATTGGGCGTAGATGGAGGAAAGAAAAAGTGGCACTTGGCGTCCCACGCATTATTGTCGACTAGAGAGACAACGGTATCATGCGCCTCTCTGGCGAGACGATAGAAAGGTTACACATGGCGACACGTCTAATCGCGTACTATACGGACGTTTACGCTCGCTGCTCCTAATGGCGAGAGAGATAATTGAAAGTGCATGCAAATTTATGTGGGATCGGCGGCGCCGCTTGAAATTCCTTATCGAATATGCGCTCGTCGTCCCGCGCGCCACGAATATGAGTTACGACAGGTCATCGCACATTAAAACTCTTGAGCTTTTACATAGAACACTACTATTGTAGTCTCTTAAACTACATGTTTAATGAACAATTAATTCGCTACACAACAATTTTAGCTATTTACAAGGTTCAGAACAATAAGAAAATATCGCTCGCAAGACTTACGGCGGAAGCCATAAAAAATAATAAAACGTAAGCTCACATTCAAGGAATATGAAACACACAGTGATCAAAGTGGATCCGCGCTCGATACCACGATTTCTGAATTCACTCAACACCATCTGAGTACAACAACTATATATCCTAACAAAAACTTAAAACCGAATTACCGGTACTTTTATTGCTCGCACTACGCTATACGTCGATATCAATACTCGTATTAAACTTTGACTTATCGCAATGTTGACATTGTAAATTATAAACGTCAACAGTGCGGTAAGAAAAAATTTAATATGAAATATCGGTGAATTTTTATGATTATCGTGACTAACGTGGATTTATGGATCGATACGAGCACGTTGTATTTTCTAGTGCAAGATAAATGATACTAACAATAAGTTCTAACAATAAGGAAATAAATTGAATAATAATACGAATTAAGAAACTAAAGCCATTTAAGTTACGGGAAGAAAGTTCTTTCAAGCAAAAATTTGTAGTATGCAAAATCGAGAATACAGTATATTACAGAATATATTTAATATTAAAAAATCGAGAACAACGAGTACCTTCTGGTTTACCGCAGTGCATTCTCATACTAGCATAGCAAATAGAAATTACGTAATATTTTATTAGTTCTATATTTATGAATTTAATATCATATTTTCTCATAATAGTATTCTCAGTCATTTAACCTACTTATCTCTAACGGAAAGGAATTGGAACACCAATAAGATTGTCTAATTTAGATTAGGAAATTCATGCACCGCAAAAAGTGCACGTACCGCATAAAGATACGTCTACTGAATACAAAGAAATAGACACACAGAGTTCGCGCAGATATCTTACGTCATCATTCGCCGTAAGATCGTGGATGCTGAGCGTGCATACGGAGATAAAGATAAGATTGAAAGGTCTTACTTTGAGGTTTAAGTTTTAATGAGTCAGTGAAAAGAATCATGAATTCATATCCGTAGAAAAAAAGCATTGCCGTTAGATATTTGCATCGTTATAAAATGGTTATAAAAATAGTAATCTCACATACTTGAACATTCCGAAATTTTCTTCGCGCGAATTCATTCCTGACAAAGTTATATCGTTGTTTGGAAAAGCGATATGCACCCGTAGTTGCATAGAGAATACCACACGAGAAGAACTTACACGCGTCGCGCGAAGGATGCGTATTATAGCGTCGACGTACACAGCGTCGCGGTACTTTGAAACTGAATCCGTATATGTTGCAGATGTATATATATGCATGCACATAAATGCGGGGCCACGCGAAATGTTTAGTATTCCTCGTGAGGGGCCAAGCCCAGCTTTCAATTTGCGGCTAGCAATTTGTTCGCCAGTTGCACCCCCGTGTAGCACAAATGCGCGATGCATTCGCTCTGGATGTATGTATGCATTACTGAAGCATCATGATGCGCAACGGACGGATTTATACCTAGCGTTACGATTTCAACGCTGTTCTGAGTGCTTCTCGATTAGGAGACGTTACAAGAGATGGAGATTCGATATAAGAGAGAAGAACTCCATGTTTCTATAACGATAGATTTTCGATAACATGGATATAGCAAATCGAAAGCTTTTAAATTGAAAACGTGCGCAATGCAGAAATATATTCCATGAAGTGAACGTAGATCGCATTGTGGAAGTAACGACTTCTTTCAACACCGTCGCCGGACTCTATGATATAGAGCGGTATGCGCGCCCACAAAGAACGCGGTAAAAGGAATACACAACAGGCGTAAATTTCAGTCACTTGCCGACGTAAAATAAACGAAGTTGACGTTCGCACCGGTGTGTTATACCGCGTTCCTGCATAAATTCTTTCACGTCAACATAAAAAGACCATTTCACGCGTGAGTTCATTAGAGCCTGTTTATCTTGATAGGTACTGGCGACCCTGGCACTATCTATGGGAACTCTCTCCTCTGGCTTGGCCAAGGGTTACACCTCGCCCGCGTTAGACTCCATTTTGGATAATCAACCGCCTCATCTTTATCAATCACCCAACAATGATACGTGGTAAGAATTTAAATGCTTAACTAAATATAAAAAGGTCTGTTTTCTATATAAATATATCCGACTCTTAATGTGTAGAATAATAATAATAAATTAAGATATTTAAGGGCATATAAGAATCAACGCGCTGAAGATCTGTTTTCTGATTGTGCTTCTGTAGATACAACTAAATAACATAGTGTATATATTAAAAAGGATTTTAATACAGTCTAGTATAGGAATAAAAAATAGACCTTACATTAAATAATTCCATAAAGATCAAGTTTAAATGGAGTGGCTACAGTACAAACGCGTAATCTTTTGGTCTATTTTTGTATATTTATATTACTCAATTTGGATTCAAATATATATATAAATATAATGTATATTGTATGTATATAATATCTCTCATAGCTGTTAATATAAACTTAATAAAATTCTTATTTGATTTGAAATAAAAATAAAAAAGAGCGTATTTTATGTTGTATATATTTCATTATTTTCATCGTCGTAATAATAACGCCGCTAAAACCGATCAAATTACTTGTAAAATTTATGATGGAAAGCACGTAAACACAAATAATTTGATCGGTTTTTGCGGTATTATTGCCACAATGAAAGTAATGAAGTATATATCTCAAATATGCTTTTTTATTATTTTCATTTCGAATCAAATTATAAAAATATTTTATGTCAATATAATCTATGAAAATGTTATGTTAACATAGTTCATCTAATGCATGTAAAAAAAAACATTCACTCTGTTCCGTGTTACACGAACGAAAGTTTTATCTTGTTAAATAATATCGGATTTCAATCTGAAACGTCGAGGACAATTATATCCACGCGGTGGCTTATTCGAGCGTCACGTTCTTGGTTGCTAATTCCGGGATGCGTCTACTGCAACGACAACATGTGAACTCAACTGGGAAGTAGAGCTGTTCACAAATAATACTCGACAACCAAGACGCGGCTGCCAAGAGCGATTACGTTTGCACCTGACGTCTGCCTTGGCATTCTGAGAACAATACCCAATACATCGAGAGTGTCTCCTGGACGCGCCTGAATTACGCCAAGAGTTCAGACAATATATGTATAATGCTGTCGCACGATTCTAATCGCGTTTACACTTTGTTGTGCAGGTTGGCTTTTTCGGTTACGCAACAGGAAGCTTCGTGGGTTGCATCGCTGTCCATGCTGGGCGCGTGGTTCGGTGCCATGATCGGTGACTGGATAATGCGGAGAGGTCGTCGTTTGGCCTTACGCATGACATCCTTGCCTCTGGCAGCGGCCTGGGTCTTGACGGGCGTCGCACCGTGCGTGGAGTTGGTGTACATCACAAGTTTCATCGGCGGACTTTGCTGTTCAGTCATCACCATGGTGGCGCAGGTAAAAAAAAAAGAGATTCGATTCGAATGATTTTAAAATTAAACCTCAGTCGACGTATGAGCAATTGCTTTCGGCAGGTGTACATATCGGAAATCTCGATGCCGGGCATTCGCGGATGTTTGTCGGCGATGTTGAAAGTGCTCGGTCACGTTGGTGTCTTGCTGTCGTACATAGCCGGTACATATCTGAATTGGCGGCAAAGCGCTCTACTAGTGGCCGTCGCGCCGTCAATGCTCTTTTTGGGGACCCTCTTTATACCAGAGACACCATCATATCTTGTATTAAACGGCAAAGATGACGAGGCTGCTAACAGTTTGCAGTGGCTGCGCGGAGAACACGTCGATATAAGACACGAATTGCAGGTAATTTTCAAAGTTTACGAAGAATGGATAACTTTCAGATTATTGTTGAATTCATAATATCAAATTATACGACTTAAATTAGTTTTAATCATTTCAATAGGTTGCCACTGTTTTTATTCAATATCTCGTTTAACTAGAACAATGGAGTTAAATAGTTTAACTTATTTGACCCAAGAAAATTAAATTTGACTGAAATGTATTAAGCTCGACTCTCATTATTAATTTATTATTTATCAAGTGAATATGTTAATATGAATATATTATTTACTTCAAAACTAACCAGATTGATTTACATTTTAATATAGACATAAAAGTTATATTTATAAAAATAACAAAACGGATTTAATTACTCCTTTGATATTTAATATTAATAGAGCGGCTTCCTTCTTATATCTTTCTCTTTGGACACGAATCAACGAGTGTCAATCGCGAACGAGGTTTGATTGCTATAAATTATGCAATTAATGATATGCCTTCAGGTCATCAAAACAAATATTCTGGCTTCGAGGGCTAAGCAGTACGAGCTAAGTTTTAAGAACAGCATGTTTACACCAAGATTATACAAACCCATCGCTATCACGTGCGGTCTGATGTTCTTCCAGCGATTCTCCGGCGCGAATGCATTTAATTACTACGCGGTACTTATTTTTCGTCAGACCCTAGGTGGAATGAATCCTCACGGAGCGACCATAGCGATCGGATTTGTACAGCTATTGGCCTCTTTATTGTCAGGTACATTAAACAATTTCAAACAATATCGATAATCTCGGCAAAATTAAATTTCATAATTAATAAGATTATGACGTAAATAAAACAAATTATTTTCTCTTTCGTTAGAGATGTTTGAATTTATCATATTTAACTGAAATGATATCGCTCGCAGGATTTTTGATCGACATAGTCGGCAGACTACCGCTCTTGATAGCCAGTACCGTTTTCATGTCACTGGCGCTCGCCGGTTTCGGCAGCTACGCGTATTACGTGTCGCAAACGCAAAATCTTGGCTACGTGGACTCGGCGGTGGTGGGCCAGCACGACTGGATACCGCTACTCTGCGTACTCGTGTTCACGACCGCCCTCGCCCTGGGCATATCGCCAATTTCTTGGCTATTGATTGGCGAACTATTTCCGCTGGAGTACCGCGGCCTCGGCTCCAGCATTAGCACGAGCTTTAGCTACTTTTGCGCGTTTTTCGGGATCAAGCTCTTTATGGACTTTCAGCAGGTGAGGAGGTTTCTTTTTAAGTTGATTAACAAGTTGCTTAGATCCATAAAGACTCTTATAAGTTTAGAAACTAAGTTCAAGATTATGTAAAGTAAGATTTTAAACGAGAAAATCCATAAGAAGGAACATAGCGTTTTGTCTAAACACTATTTTGCTAGAATAATTTGCCCAGATATAACATTTTACTTATATATACTATTATTCTCTACAATTAATGAACGATCAATTTCTGTAATCTTGCAATTAATAACTTAAATTGTGAGAACTTCTTCTCTTTTTAGAGTCTCGGTCTACATGGAGCCTTTTGGTTTTACGCTGCCGTGGCGGTCTGCGGACTGTGTTTCGTAGTCTGCTGCGTGCCTGAGACGAAGGGCAAGCAGCTGGACGAGATGAATCCGGATTATGCGCAAGCACGGTAGTATAAGGCCTCGCTGACGGGGGGTCTCTCGAACTTAGAGAAGGCGAACAAGCCTTTACCGGGTGGTGCTTATCCGAACGAGCACGATCCGCGGGATATTTACCGCAACGATCCGTCAATTGCGACTTCCAGCATCACGATGCCGTCTGCGCGCGTCGCTCATCGCAAATTGTCGGATTACTGCGGTATCTTCGCCGAGAAGACCAATAGAATCGGCAGAAACGTGGAGAGCTTTATGCAGTCTCGCGGTTTGCTACCGATTCGTCGCTCGGTCGACGAAACACCGCGTCGTGACATGCTCGGGATTAACGGCGACGTGATCAGGAACGACCCTCCGCCGCGAGTTGTTCGAGAAATGAGCGAGAACCGTCGTCGCCAACACGTGAATCTTGATTACGAGCGGCCACGGAGGAACGGCGGTCAGAAGAAACGCGTGGTGTACTCCAACAGCACTTATCCCCGGGACCCAATGCGAGCCGACGCGAGTTACGTTCGTCGTTTCAACGCGACGGAACCCCGTCGTGCCAACAGGCGCGAGTACGCAGAAACGGATTACGACGCGGCGGACACCTGGAGACGAGACTTGGACCTTGCCAGGGGAGGTCTGTGTGTCTCCAAGCCGATTCTAAGAAACGGCATCAATCATGATGGAGACGAGAGGTCGTATTACTCGACCCTACCGCGGCGCAGCAGGACCATCAACTTTAAGGATCAAACACGCGACTCCCCCGAGGGAGAACGACGGCGCACGTATCCAAAGAGCCTGCAGGATCTAACGGATTTGGAACTCGACGATGTCGCGTATCTCCCATCCGCCCGCGGTAGGGATGGCACTCGAGAGGAGAGACTCTACGACAATTATCGTCGACGTAACAGGTATCGTCGAGAGGAAGACGAATTACCCTTCGACGACGATTATCTCAAGCTCTGTAGAAGCCTGTCGAGATTAGATAAGTATTCGCGAGGTGGTAGATATGGACCAGGTCAAGTACACTACGAGCGAGAATGCAGAACATTCGGCAAGGATACAGTCGCCTTTATCTACTATAAGACGTGCTATTTATGATCTAAAAAGAAAAGCGATACAAACGAGCGGTCGGAAGTTCTCTCATCGGTTATAGACCGTCCATCGTTACGCGTGGCTTACGATCTCAAACAGAAATGCGTATATGGTCGATTGGTCGTTTCGAATCTTTTGTTCCGGATGCATTTAACGAGCGGAAGTATTTTCTACTCGATAAACTGGTATAGAGTTTTGTGTTAATTTGATAATTACAAAATTTCATCAGCAGCAGATCGTATTACAGAAAAAAATCCCTTTAAATTCATATCTTCTTAATAATAACATATCTTTATCAGGATGTAAAGAGAATATTTGCGTGAGGAAAAAAAATCAGTATAAAAAAAATAATCGAGTAAACCGAATCACAAATTGCCTTCACGTCTGGCTTTAATATAATTAAATCGTTTCTCGACTGATAATGAAATTATATCATCGAGCTTTAAATAGTAACTTCTTACATAATTTCTCTAAAAAGAAAGCGTGATATCACATTTTTGCTTTCAGAAATCATACAGAGCTAGATTAATTTTTTATTTAGTAAATGACATAAATTGTTGTGCCCATTCCACACTAATTATTCAGTATCGTAACTCTTTGAGGTGTTTTTGAAAATGTAAAGGATATATAATTGTAAAAATCGATCAAAAATGATACAAAATAATATCTAAATAAATATTAGTATCAGATTAAATCTACGTAAAATCTTAAACGTATAAACTACTTTATGCTTGTCGTGTTATCTGCAACTTTATATTAATTTCCGGAAATACAGTTCTCTTCATCGAATTGAATTACATCCTTTACTAATCAGTTCTTAATATTCAAAGCTTATTCGCGTCAAGAGGCAATGCTATCATACCGTACTTTCCAAGTAGGAAAGCATGACAATATTTTACGCGAAAAAGATATGTATACCACAAAAGTAAACAATTTAATATTAACAGAGTCCTTAGAATAGGCTCGATAGACTGCTCGTAGACTGCCAAGCTAGTCTTTCTGTAAAGTAGTCAATATATGCAATGAGTTGCAATAATGCTGTTGCTATATTTTCAGCCGTTAATGGTGTTCGAGCGCCATTTCTTTCGAGAATATTGCGATGAGCCTCGAGAGAAAAGGTAAAAGGCAATTACTAACGCTAAAAACGATGTTTTTACAGCTAGTGCGCTGCAGGGGCATTCGCGTTATTAAACAAGTTTACGACAATATATAGAGTATACTTTTTGCGGACGTAAGCAAAATACATTTTGCTAACCTCAGCATATATCGAGGCCTCGTTGCGTAGCACAGGCGTCATTGACTTAACTACGACAATATCGATTTGTAGATATATCTACATATGTTTCATATAAGATGCGTATTGTGTACATTGGTTATTGTATATTATATACATATATCTCTATCGTATTCGTGGAACTTACGCAATTAGCGACGATACGATGCAATATAGCTGATAAACAAATTCCCGACAATACCACAAATTACTATAATAATTTCGCAAAGCCGATAGAGCGAAATTCATACTATTAGCTTTATTAAAATATTAATGCATACATGTACTACGCGTAACGTTGAAAGCAACTATACTAAATATCTGCGAGATGGTGAGATTCTCATCTGTATAACTAATCTTGATTATTTATCTAAGTCTTCTGCTTTCGACGATTTCCCATGCATTTCTCAAAAGTATGGCCATTCGAATGGCAAAGTCGCGATTAGACGAAAGTCTCCATAATGATGTACGTATTTTATATTTTTATATAGTTTGTAGAATAACGTTAGAGAGGGAGAGAGAGAGAAATTTACATGACAAAGTATTTGTTAGAAGTTGACTGTACTTTGCGGATCACAGCTTATATCTGTGATAATCCACGCGGGAAAAAAGTTTCTTTGAAATGTCTTCGATATTGAAACTACGTAATATCAACGAAAAACAAAATGCCGAACGTAATATAACAAATTTAATTTGACAAATACGATACAAAGAGAAAATTTTTCATCGCGTGGGTCGCGCAAACAGAAATTATCACATCTGTAATTATCTATCGAACCCGTGAGTCATATCCCTGCCATATTCTATACGTAATGAGGCGTATGAAAGTCGCGGAAGTACATTAAATCCCTGTACTTAAATATTTCCGCGTGTTTCTGTAGACAGTGATCGATCGATGCGGGGGAAAGAAAAATCTGCGTTTGCGCAAAGCTATATCGATTCGTAAAAAATACATTCCATTTTTTATACATATAATAAATTACGCGTATGCGATACGCGAGGAAAAATAATATTGCCAACGTCGAAATCGTAAATTCGAAGACATATCAGATAAGAGAAAGAATATTTCGATATCGTATTACTGTCTACAAAAAACGAATACACGCACCTTCCTATCGACAAAAATATCTTACTAAATATGTTACATAGTGTCTTGAAAAAATATATACCAGCATATCCTAATTAATACTTTATCGTGAAAAAATTTCAATACGATTATTTTTAATTTTTTATGTTAGGTGTAAGATCGTAATTAAAATATTTTTGCTATACAAGAAATAATCAATTATCTGAACTATAAAACTATAATTTGTCGAATTAGTAATACATTTATGAATGTTTAAGCTAGTGAAAGGACAACATTTTATTATGGTATATATATTTTCAAAGCATTGATATTTTATGCTCAAGGGCTTGGATACAGTATTGGGTAATGTCTATAATTAATTTTAACGCGGTGCAATGCTCGTGAAACGAGTGTACATAGGCTATATGATCAACTTCCGGATTTTACGTAAATTATAAAAGTTCTCAATAAGATTATCTCGTTCTTAGTATACCGCGCCGAATAAGCGAGCTTTACTATTCGCCGAGTGACATATATTTACAGCGACCACATTGCGTCAGATCTTCCATATAATAAAAAAAAATCTCTGTAGATATATGTTAAACTATATAAAACGAAAATCTGCACTGTGCACTCTCGTGAATTGAAAATTTATCGTAATATGTGTAGCGGTAATAGTGAAATTCAGAATCAAGATTTCGCATTACTGCACGTTTAGGATCACGATAGTCCCGATAAAATAGATGTCTGTATATCGCGAATATGTATGTGTTCGTGCGTAAGAAAACTCGCGGATGAGTGTGCGTGTAATTGCGTGTAATTGACGATGACAGCTTTTAGATATACGCCACGCATGTAGATTTATCCCTTTATTCCCCTTTACGTAAAACAGAGAAATGGCAAACATTAGAGAGAGGTTGGTGAAGACTGTAACTCGAGATTGAAATACTAATCTGCATTAGCGAATTAAAAGTGTACACTTAGCGCGTTGCAATCAGATCACAGCAAATAGGGATTCAATCTAGGAATTCGAATTTATACGTATATTACTACATGCGAGATATTATATTATCTGGACGTGATGGGAAAGCTTTTCGTACGAAAAGAACGAATCACGTTATAATTCTACTTATCGACAATAAATTCATTATACAATTTGTTGACAATAAATAGTTCAAATATATGGAAACAGCGCTGGCCGTCGCTAAAATGATTAAATCTTATATCAATACGGATAATAAATCTATGAAGACGTATTTTCAATGAAAAAAAAAGAAAGAGAAAATGAAAAAGAGAAAGAAAAAGAGGAAAGAGAACGGAATAAATAGAAAGAAATAAATATATATGCATATACACCGATCTTATCGAGCCACGTTTAGCTTCGCTTGCTAGATTTAATATTTTTGTAATGATGCCTAGGAATATGTATCTGGTGTATTTGTACCTTCATAGAGTTAATATTTAGATTATACTACTCTATAAACGTTGCGTCTTCAATGCGAAGCAACAGGGAAATCTACTCTTGTATAATGCGATGGAATATCATACTTGTATAAAATGTATTAAGAAAGAATGATTTCTGTGCAAGAAGTGAGACAAGACTGTGCGTCGGTTTCTCG